CCTGAAATCAAAACCACATCCAGTGTTGCCTTGCATTATTGGTCAAAAGTGGATTCATTACAATGATACTGTTTTGTTCTCTATTGTGTGGACACTCCGGAAACCCTACACATATTCCATATGTATGAGGACTGATGCCATGGATACTCTAAGACACATCACCTGTGGTGGCCACGCCCTACTTGCCATTGTAGCTATATAAACACTATGCATACGTGGCTTCTTCAAATCCCTGATTTCCACATAGTCTACGTGTGTGTCACCTTACCTTGCCAGAATAGAGCTGGTCCCTATACCCCTCTCAGGGATTGCTTTTGTCTCTCCTACACAGGCCGGTGCAAAACTTGGCACTATATAAATAAAATGGAACTGAAATTTTATTTTCCAATGCAAAATTTGACCTTGTTGGAAGTTATGTCAGACTTGCCAGAGAGTAAAGACAGGGGGAAAGTGTGGTGTTGGCAATTTCTGTCTGACTTCCAGAGCTAGGGGACTGGGAAAACCCTGCACTGTGGGAGAGCTTAGTTGCCGTTCATTTCCACCTGTTATAGACAAGAAACAGCGTAACATCCAAAGCTTTTTAGGCAAACCTGTGTGACATTAAGAATATAAGGTGTGACTTGTGCCCCAAGTGCATGTCCCTCAGTCATAATCGGCACATTTCACTGATGGATTAGGGCTAATCCAGGGGAGCACAGCTGTTTAAAGTTGTGGAATAAAGGTGCCTATGGAGGAGGGCCATGATAATTGTGTTCACTGCATAGAGCTAGACCATGTAAGCTAGCGCGAGAGAAATCTATGTGGTAACTTCCAACGTAGCCAGAAACCCTTTTTACAACTATATGCTGTAACCAACATGTCTCGTTTCCATGTTTAGCTCAGGAGGTAGAGGTCATCTACTGATTGGGAACAACATGAGCATTTGTAAGCAATAGGAGCGTATTTGAGGAGGCCAAAACTTTATTGGTAGTTATTAGTAACTTACAAATGAGAAAATTCTTAATTTCCAATTGTTTTACAAAGGTATGAGGTGGAGAGAGTGTAATACTTTCAGATATAATTTTAATAGCAGTCATTTGCATTTTTATATTAGGTAAGATGGGTTTAATTGGACTTCACGACATGCCTTCACACAACTGTGCCGTTCATGATTCTTCCTTCTCATCTCCATGTGTGATGATGTAGCAGAGAGACTTGTAGTCAATGTTTCCAGTTGGATCTATGGGAGCGAGGGCGAAGGCCTGATCCACCTGTAGGTTTATAAAGAGAAAGTTTGTCCACTGAAAATATCTTTAAAAATTATACGAGAATCTGTCAAAAACAATACATTAAAGCTGAAAACACAAACCTCCTCTGGTGTGAATTTATCAGCCTGATTCATCAGTAGTCGTCTAAATCTAAATAAAAATAAATAAATGTTAAAGGAGAGGAAAAATAAGATACTTTAATGCAGTGGTCTCCAACTCCAGTTATTGAGAGGTACTGTCCTACAGCTTTTAGGTGCATCCTTGCTCCAACACACATGAATCAAATAAATGGCTTGTTACCAGGGCTTTGCCACACCTGATAGCATACTAAAGAGGTAATTCAACATGCATCTAAAAGCTGCAGGAGAGTAGCTCTCGAGGACTGCAGTTGAAGACCCCTGCTATAATGCTATGGGCCACACGGAACAACGTGAAAGCTAATTGATAAGATTTCTTACTCATCCTTATTAACAAAGCCCGTCCCATTAGGATCAAAAGGTTTGAAGGCTGCTAGTATGGTGTCTTCAGGATCAGTACCTGGAGGAAGATCAAATATAATTCTCCATCACCTGAAGGCACCTCACAGGAATTTCAAAGATCTCTTTGAACATCTGTAAATCTCTCACCATTGAGTTTCTCCCCAAAAAGTGCCAGAAATACAGTAAAGTTGATGGGACCCTTCCCTTCATTCAACATTTCATCCAACTCCTCCTCTTTGACATTTAGCTTCCCTGGTACACAAAAAACACACAGAGACATGCCAATATACATTTACTAAATGCAGTAACAGTAGCAGGTCAACATCATTACAGCTTTCACTTATTGTAGTTTATTTGCTGTCAGTTTATACCTATTTT